CGCTCTTCTTGAACTCCCCTTTCTCCATGGTCATGGTCCCTTAGGGTCTCACTGACGAGCCTCATGAGCTTGTCAAAGTCAGCTTTCCTGAAGTCAAGGACTTCTGTGTTGCTGACTGACATGCCAGCTTTTCAGCGGATGGTGAAGGTGATGAGCTCGTGGTCGCTGTCACCCAGCTTCCCATCAATCACTAGGCTACCGACTAGGTCATCCCCAGTAGCCAGTACCAGGTTGAGCAGCGCTTTGCCTCTCGACTTAAATATAAAGTATAAGTATAAAGTATAAGTATTTTAAGTATAAAAATAATATACTTTGTGGATCCAAGCCTATAATGTCTTTCTTTCATATGCATTTCTTCCTCACTACCAATTACACTGCATTTAAAAAATACAAAGAAAAGATTACAAGTGCAAAGTCAAGTACTTACAAGCTAAAAAATGTTGAAATTAAGCTTGTCCATATCACCTGAACTTGCATACTAGTATTCAGCTGCATAATCACCCATCATTGGATTACCATATTTGAGGTCAGGAAGGAATTTTGTCCCATGGTCAGATTGGTATGGACTGTGGGAGTTTTGCCGTCCACTGTAGTGGGGGGCATGGCCCTCTACTTGCAATCTCTTGAGCATATATTGACAACCTTTAAAGAAGTAGGACATTGGTTTCTTTGGTCCTCCTGCTTTACATGTGGTAGACGATGTTGTTGTGTTGAGTCAAGGTTGACAGTAGTTTTATGAAATGTTTAGATTATGGATTTGCATGGGTTGGACTAAATGACTTCTAGAGGTCCCTTTCAGCCCTACTTCTCTATGACTCTATGATCATTTTTTAAACACATCCCCCAACCCATTCAGTGAATGCCTGAATTCATTTTAGGCCTCATTCAGTGTATTCAGTTTTATTTTCTCCTTCTACCACAGGCGGCAGAAGGCTGGGGTACAGGGCTCAGCCCCTGCAAACATAGGACAGTGGGTAGGGCTGCAAGGCAGCCTGGCAGCAGGCTCCGGGTGACTGCAGCAGAAGTGGGGAGGGGTGCACACGCAGCCAGGATCTCAGCCCGGTGTGTGGATCACAGGCTGCCCAGCATGGCAGGCAAGTATCAATCTTTTTGGTGAAGGGAAAGGGGCCGGTTGGGAGTGGGGGGCAGATCGCGGCCCCCTCAGTAAGGGAGGGAGTGGGGCACAGGCAGGAGCAAGGGCTGGGGCGAGTGGGGCCCTGGTCGGGCCAGGTGGTGAGACAATCAGAGCCCAGACAGCTTGTCCAGGGGCATGGCGGGGGCTCCCGCTGCTGTGCACACCCCAAGAGAGGCCTGGGGAGCATATGCCCCTGGATCTGTGCATGGGACGGAGGCGGCGGCTGCTGTGAACTGAGTTTTGCTCCCTGCGGCAGCTGCCCTGAGATCCATGTGACACCACATGCCTGCTGCCATTGGCTATGCCATGTCCCTTGCTCACCCAACAGTGGGACGATGTGGCCTCGCATGGATCTCGGGGCACCTGCCTCAGGGAGCAAAGCAAAGCAAAGCAAGCAGCAGCAGCTGTCTCTGTCCCACACACAGATTCAGGAGCATATGACCTCCAGGCCTCTCCTGGGTGTGTGCAGTGGCAGGAGCCTCCCTGCCCCCTTGCATGAGCCACTCAGGCTCCAACTGTCCCACCACCCGGCCTGCCCGGGGCTCCATTCCCCCCAGCCCTTGCTCCTGCCTGTGCCCCACTCCCTCCCTCACTGCTGGGGCCTCAATCTGCACCCCCCACGGCCCTTTCCACTCCTCCCACCCTTCCCCCAAAGACTTACCTGCTGGGGGGGGGGCACACATGCATGCATGTTTAGCCCCCCGCCAAAAAAATAATTTTTCCCTCTGCCTATGCCTCCTACCCAGTTAAAGTGTGGTCCTAAGCCTTGCTTACTGCTCATGTAGTGTTCTCACTATAATATATGATGTACTTCACAAATGTTAATGGATTTATCTTCATAACTCCTCCATACATTAGTATTCCTTTTACAGCTAGAGAACTGAGGGACAGAGGAAGTAAGGTCTAATGTACCTGCTAATCATGGGTACCCAACCAGAGACACCTACAGCCTTACCTATAAAAGTATTTAGTTGCTTAGATATGCAAATAAGTGCCTAGTCAAATTTAAGTAAGAGGGCTACTTGTCTTATTGACCATTACATCTTGGGGGAGGCAGGGTAAACAGATCTTTAGGTTTGTTGGACATTCTGAAATGCCAAAAAAACATTTTGGAAATATTCAACTAATGTAAAAGTTTGTTTCAATTTGTTTCAGCTTTGGTTGAAAGTTGTTTGTTTTTTATTTGGATTTTCAATTGCTTAAACATTTTCAAAATTTTTATAAATAATTCAGTTTTGAAATAAAAAGTTATCCCAAATGGAAAACTTGAAATATTTCAGTTATGAAACAGCAGAAATGAACAATTAGAATATAGAGGGATTCTTTTTCTATTTTTTTGTTTTCCAACATGAAATTGATGTGTGTTTGCAAAACCTTTTATATATAATCCTAATTTAGTGACAGCAAATTTTATATTTATATATATTTTGTTTTGTTTTGGGTTTTTTTGCTGAAAAAGGTTTTGACAAAAATAATTAATCCAGATCTAATATGCAAGAGGCAAGGGTTTCTTGGGGTGATATCTTTTACTGGAACAACTGCATAGTTGAGATAGAGTTAGACATGCTTTTGAATGCAAGACATTCTTCTTGAGGTATGAGGAGTAAATGCCAGCTCAGACTTAAAGAAGATTATCTTGCATTCAAAAGCTTGCTACCTCTACCCCAACTATGCAATTGCTCCAGTAAAAGATATCATCTTAAGAAATCCTTGCCTCTTACTTAATCCCTGGACCAACATGGCTACAACATCACCCCAGATCCAATATATACTACCCAATGCTCCTGTCTATCCCACCCAGGCTGATGGCCTCCACCTCACCAACTTAGGCCACTAGCATTAAAATAATGACATGAGGGCATCTGACCTCTAATCCCAACTATTGTGTCTCCTGTTGTGCCGCATGTGCTACCCTAAGCTACCCTGCCACACATTCAAATTTAAGGCAAGATGGAAACCAGATACCAAAATGTTCTACATATTTTTGGGCCATTTTTGTGGCTGGTTTCTTGTTTCAATACATCATTAATTCCCTTAACATAGAACCATAGAAAATTAGGGGTGGAAGGGACATCCAACCCCCTGCTCAAAGCAGGACCATCTCAGCCAAGGTTTTGTCTAGCCGGGTCTTAAAAACCTCCAAGGATGGAGATCCACAACCTCTCAGGGTAACCTGTTCCAGTGTTTTACTACCCTCCTAGTGTGAAAATTCTTCCTAATATCTAGCCTAAACTTGCCTTGCTGCAACTTGAGAACGTTGCTCCTTGTTCTGTCATCTGCCACCACTGACAACAGTCCAGTTCCATCCACTTTTGAACCTTCCTTCAGGTAGTTGAGGGCTGCTATTAAATCCCCTCTGAGTCTTCTCTTCTCTAGACTAAAAAAGCCCAGTTCCTTTAGCCTCTCCTCATAAGTCATGTGCCCCAGCCCCCTCACCATTTTTGTTGCCCTTCACTGGACTCTTTCCATTTTGTCAACATCCTTTCTGTAGTGGAGGGTGGGGGGACAAAACTGGACAGTACTCCAGATGTGGCCTCACCAGGGCTGAATAGAGGGGAATAATCACTTCCCTTGACCTGCTGGCAACACTCCTACCAATACAGCCTAGTATGCCGCTAGCCTTCTTGGCAACAAGGGCACACTTCTGGCTCATATTCAGCTTATTGTCCACTGTAACCCCCAAGTCCTTCTCTGCAGAGCTGCTGCCAGCCAGTCAGCCCCCAGCCTGTACCAGTGCATGTTCCATCCTAAGTGCAGGACTTTGCACTTGTCCTTGTTGAACCTCATGAGATTTCTTTTGGTCTAATCCTCTAATTTCTCTAGGTCATTCTGAATCCTAGCCCTAGCCTCCAGCATACCTACTACTCCCCACATCTTGGTGTCATCTGCAAACTTACTGAGGGTGCACTCTATGCTATCTTCCAGGTAATCAATGAAGATACTGAACAAAACTGGCCCCAGGACTGACCCCTGGGGTTCTCCACTTGATACCAGTTGCCAACTAGACCTCAAGATATTGAGTGCTACCCTCTGAGCCTCATGCTCCAGCCAGTTTTCTATCCATTCTAGAGTCCATTCATCCTGCCCGTACTTCCTTAACTTGCCTGCAAGAATATTGTGGGAGACTGTATCAAAAGCCTTGCTAAAATCAAGCTACACCACATCCACTGGTCTCCCCATATCCACAGAGCCAGTCATCTCATCATGGAAGGCATCATCTGCTGTTTCAGGTTGGTCAGGCATGACTTGCCCATGGTGAATCCATGCTGACAGTTCTTAATCACTTGCTTCTCCTCAAGTGCTTAGAAAATGTGGCAGGGTTACTATTAAATCATGCAGTTAACAAGTTAATCACATCCTAAGTGTCATGTCTGCCATGGCCCTTATGCATCCACTCCTTCCACATCCTGCCCCATCTCCCTCTACTCCTATGCAATCTCTGCCCTTTATTCCTACCTACAACCACCATTTCCCTTGGTTCCTGTCCTACTCTTCCCCTTCCTCTGTGTCTATACATAAAGTCCCAGATTCATTCCATCCTTCCTCTCTGCTTCTTTCTATATACCCCTTTGAACTCTTTGCTTTTGCCTCTTCCCTGACTCCTGTCACCATTTTCCCCACTCAGGTCCTATTTACCTTCTGGTACCTAGAAAAACATCTTCTCTTGAATCATGAAAGCAGGATCATAAAACAGAAAGTGTTGGGCAACCTCAACACCAGGTGTTACCACCTGAACTGCTTCTTGACTTCTCCATCTATTTCTGTCTCAGACACACCCCACCCCCACACCCATCCCCTGTAAGCTCTACTGGTGCAATTCACACAGAGTCAGTATAAATAGCATCCACAACTGGGAGCTGTATCAGTGCAACTACATTGGTTGCAAAGCACCGCTATGGACAAAGATGTTAATTTTGACTATGATAGACTAAATACTCTGCTATTTGTACTATATAGTACAAAAGTACAGAGAAATTATGGCCCCATTGTGCTAGGCAGTGCACTTACACAAAGATTGAGGCTGCCCTTGCCTCAGAGACCTGAAGGAAAGAAAAAGATGGAGTGAGGTGATTTATTAGAGGTCAAACAGCAAGCCAAAGGCTGCATGAGGAATAGTGCCTATACCTCTCCACACCCAGCCCTGTACTGTACCATCATTGCTGGAGTTTTCCTGATCATTCTCATCATTTATTCCCCTTCTTGTTTCTTCTTTTCTTTCCTCCTCTTCAATTTCCATCTTATCCTCTGAAGGCTCCTTTTCTTGGGCAGATGAAATAACCAGTGCTGATTCTTTGTTTGCCTCCTGTTCAGTACTGCTTTCACTGGGTTCATTGGGCTCTATGACTTTCATTGATTCCTCAAGCCTTTCTTTAGTGTCTTCTTTCATTTCTTTCTTGGGAGGAGAGGGCTTTTTGTCCAGACCCATTTCAATAATACAGCTAAAAAAACCAACATGGAAATGTTGAAAATATACATTTTCTAGATACTAAGCATAATGGCATTTTTACACTTTCTCTGGGCAAATTAAAACACCTGCAGTGTCTTGTGTATCAGCATCTCCACACTTCAAAATGGCAGCAGAGGCACTTTAACTACAGCTCACTGAACAAGCTTTAATTACAGTGCCCCTGCCAGCATCACAGGGATGCTGATACACAAGACACGGAGGCTGCTGGAGCGCATTAATAAGCACACTCTACCAGATTCGATTAAATCAAGTCTGCTCCAATGCTCTGTAATTACACCACATCAGAATAGCCTCTCCACACATCTACAGACACACGATGTGCTTATTTTAAAGTGAAACAAATGCATGCATCTGTGCATCCATAAAATTGTGACCTTAAGATTTACCCACCTCCATAATGCATTTTTGAATCCTGGGATGAAACATATATGGAGTAAATCATGGCCAGGCTGTAATATGGTGTGTGGCTCATGAAAAAAAACTGATTTTTCAGTTCAGCTCCCAAACTGAAAAATTAAACTGAGAAAAATACTGTATTTAACTGAATCCAAGAATAAAACCTGAGTTTAGGATGGCTCTCCAATAATCAGATTCTATAAAGGAAAATATATCAACCAGTTACAATTTTCCATGTACAGAATCTGACTATTTGGGGGTCATCTTAAATTCATCCTACCAACGCTGCAGTGGAGAAAGAAGGGGTTGGTGAGGGGGGAGGCACTAGGGAGACAGGCAGTGGGGAGGTAGTAGAGTGGCAGGTGGTAGGGGGCAGGCAGTTGAAGAGGCAGGCTGTGGGGAGACAATGGGATAAGCAATGGTGGGGGGTCAAGCAGTTTGACCCCTGCTTTTGTCCTCCCACCCCTTGCCTCCTGCCACCTGCCCCCCACCCTCCTGCTTCCCCTGCGACCTCATCCCACTATTCCTGCCCCTGCAGCCACCACCTGCCCTATTTCCCTTCCACTTCCACTTGCTCCAGCTTCAACAGGTTCTGGCCCTGTTCCAGCCTGGTGCATGGAGCACATGCTTGTTCTGGCCCAAGCCTGGCCTGGTAAAAACAGCAGGGGTGTGGCAACTCTGACCCCAGCTTCAGGTTGCGGCTGGGGCCAGAATCAAAGCCTGAGCCACAGCAGCTTCTACCCCTCTCCCACCTCATACTTGAAACCAAGATGAGGGGCTTCCCCCCCCCCGCCATGTGAAAAAGGGAGGACCTCATCTTGGATTTGAGTAAATACGGTCTCTTGGTTCAGATCAAACTGAATTTAGTGTTTTTTTTTCAATTTTTCTCACATTTTCCCCAACTTTTGCTTTGTTCAACTCATAACAAAACCTTTTATAGTGTGTAGTGCAATGCTGTTCAATGAGGCCAGATGAGTGGAACAGGGAGGGGCCAGTCTGAGGACCAGATTAGACCCCCACATACCCAGATCAGGCTCTGGGCAGCCTCAGCTGCCTCCATCTAGCACTGGGGCCACGCACCACATCAACATGGCCCTGTGTGCTCAGCACCTCCATGGGCTGAGATCAGGTCCCACAGCACCCCTCATTCCTGATCTAGCACACAGGGCCGCAGTCCATGGAGCTCCCCACAGACCTGGTGTAGTGGGATAACTATTTGATACCAAAGCTGTCCCTGTTTGCACAGTAAGTGGAGGCAGTCTCCCACAATGTGGGAGGGATAACCACCAAATTAAAGATTCTCTCTCCATTGCTGTCTTACCAGACTGTGTGAAGGACTTTATAACCACCAGATTAGAAAGCCTCTCTCCATTGCTGTCTCACTAGACTGTGTTAAATACTTTATACAAAGTGAAACTGTATCAACAGGGGAAATGAGGGAGACCCATCTCAGATCTCCTTATAGCTTGGTGGTTTAGACACTCACCTGAGACACAGGATACAGGTTTAAATATGCTATTTACCTGCTTTAAGGCAGAGATGTGAACCTGGATCTCATACCTTTCTGGAGAATTCCCCACCGATGACACTATAGAGCATTCTGAAGTGAGCCTCCCTCAATCCCTCTTGTTTCTGGTGTCCTAGTTTGTAAAACTGAGTAATTCTCTTGCTTGATAAGTAAGACATTCAAATGGGACTCCTGGGTTCCAGCATCTCCTCTAGTAAATTTTCAGTTATGAAATGAAATAGTCTCTGCAGGAAATAATGAAAGCCACCTTGAGCCATCCCAGAAAGCCAGGCAGTTAGGACAGAGGCTCTAATCCCCTGCAGAGGAAGAAAGTGAACCCAAGACTTTCATATCCTTCTCCTGCATTCCAACCTGGTGTGATGTACATTATCCCCCTTCAGTTTCTTAAGCATCTCTCTCATTCTCCCTACCAAACTTCAATTCTAACATAAAGCTGTCCCTGCCCCTACATCTCCTAACGTGACATAAGATGTCCTGGAAATGTCAAGAAATTGATGTTCAGAACCTGGAATTTCAGAAACTGACATCCAACTTTTCAAGCATTAAAAAAAAAAATAAGCATGAATAATTGTGAGGTCAAGTGAAGGGAGGCAAGGGTGGTTTCTCGCCTGTTACTTCATTTGTGCCCAGAATGTCTTATGTTGCTGAAGTACTGAAGTTAAAATGTTCCAGGTAGGTAGATATTTAAGGCTCCAGTCTTGCAACAGACAGGATTGGACATACAGTATTTACTCAAATATAATATGAGGTTTTTCTCCCAGTCGTCATGGAGCAGTGGGGAGGGGAAAGCTCCTCATCTTACATTTGCATACAAGGAAAGTTCATTAAATATATTGTCTATCATTAAATTACTGCCAACAGCAGCTTGCACTCAGTAATGAAAACCAACTGTGAAGCTGATTAACTGCATGACTCAACATGCCTATAAAACACATGGCCCATAATAGGCAAACATCCTGATGAGAACCTACCACAAGCATAGGTCAGTGCAGCCTATCTGAATAAGGTATATGGTAGTTCCCATTGGGCTCAATCGCCCTTAGTGCTGACCTCTTTTTCCAGTCATGATGAGCCACTGCACTGAATGCTTTTCAACTTCATCTTCACTCCTATAGCTGAGCTGCACTGTTCTTTATCATTTCCAATATTTCCTGTTTCTTCACAAGCCTTAAATGTCTGGCAAACATAACCAAACATGATCCCATATAGTTCACCTAGAATCCCTCTGCCACCCCCTCCCTTGGCCTGTTACACATGATTAGTGTGATCCCACACTCCATGAGGTAAAGCCAGATCAGGCTGCCTTGTGCCTAATAATCTGCATATAAACATTTGGACTCATAACAAGAACACCCAGTTCCAGTCATGAGTGGGGGGTTAATTAGCACAAGGATGATTTGGGGTGGGGGGAGGAGGTAGTCTGAAGTATATACACATACCAAGCAGTGCTGAGCTGTTGGGGTACTATGGCTTGAAATGTTGTTGAGTCTGCTGGAGCCCAACCCAATGAACTATATCAGTGGTTTTCAAACCTTTCTGTATCAGGACCCATTTGTAACATTGATAGCCAGTCCTGACCCAGTAAATTGCTTAAGCAGAAAACAGCCCCCCAGCCCTGCCAGTGCCTGTCACTCTGCTGCCTCCTCGCCCCCCACATCCCCAGGCCCCGGTCCCCCATTGTGTGGGGCAGGGGGAGGGTGTGAGGCATGGAGGACCCCAAGCAGCCCCTTGCAGGCTAGAACTCTGCCAGGCTGCATGGGAAAAACCACAGTTTCCCACGTTTTTCTCCTTTAAAGGAGAATCCATTTTTAAAGTTTGTTCATGACCCCTTCATATATTCTTGTAATCCACTTGTGGGTTGTGAACCATGGGTTGAGAAACACTGAACTATACTTGAAATCCTGAGCCTTTTGGCTTTGGATTAGTATCATACATAGTTTGTATTAGAGATAAGTAGGTACAAAAGTGCTGCTTAAAAGTATCTTTATGGAGTACCTGTGCTGAAATTTGCAGCAGTTTACAACTTATTGCAACTTGCTACAGGCATGTCTATTTCAGTCAGGATTTTCAGATTTGCCTCTCACTCTCATGTGTTCAGGGAGAGCAGGTTTTCACAGTAAGGGTGAGGGGGAAGCAGGTGCAGAGCTAAGAAGTTAGGGGGTGGGGGCAGGGACAGAGGGCAAGGAGGCCACCTGACCCTCCTCCTAGATTTATTTTCCCTGCTGTAGCAGTGGGAAGGGGGGCGGGCGGGGGGGTGGAGGGCAAATTCAAGGCAAACCTTGAATAATTAGTCTATATCTGGAAAATTATAACAAATGTATAAATTTACCATATATAGAATCATATTATTGGGAAGTCATCTTATAGTGAAATAAATATGGTATTTCAGTTCTAAATACTTTGTGGAATCAGGACTTAAGCATCCCTAGACATGATCCAAACCCCCATGGAAATCAAGGGAAAAGTCCCCATACTTTGGATCAAGCTCTTAATTTGTAGATGTAAAATCATACCCAGAATTACATGTACTCCTAACTTTGTCCATGCCAAACTCTGTCCATGACTTTACAGGGTGTGACTTGCAGAGAGTATGAAAGGAACCTAGGGAAGAAACCTTACTGAAAAGGAAACTTTAGGTCAAAGAGTGAGATGGAGTGGAGGGGGGGTGAGAGAGAGAGAGAGATTTTATTAAGTACAGAGGAGCATTTTTCCCTCCCAATATGAAATAATCTGAATAATTTCAGATCAGGATCAGTTCTGGCTATCTATGCACACACGTACAACACAGAAAAACAGATATTTGGACTAGTCAGGGTATCTTCTGAAACAGCATTCTTAATTCAGATGCTTTCCACTCCACAAAACTCCTTATCACAACAGCATTTGCATAAATCATGTAAATGTTAGTTTCAAGTGGGAAAATGTGTTATGGCAGAATTTCTCCTCAGAATCCGGTGCTTATCTCAAAAGTTAGTGCGACTCAGTGGGGGTTCTCTCCCTAACCAACTGTCTGCTGTTATTTTCTTAAATATTTTATGGAAAGAATAAATAGATTAAAAATTATACATGGCGGCAGCAGTTCTCCCACCTGACACTGCCTGGAAAAATCAGTCAGAAGGATGATTTTATTCTAATTTAAGCTTCTCAGCATAAACTGCAGGTACTAATCAAGGAACTGACTTTTGCCCTAAATAAAAGAGGGGCTCTGTTCTGCTCATATATGTTTTATGTGCCATAGGGAGCATCCATATTGTTCCATACTACAGCCAGGGAAATGATAGCATGTCAACCTTCAAGTCAGAACTGTTATCCCAAATCCAAATTTTCATTGCATTAAAAAAAAAAAAAAAAAAAAGATTCTTCTAGTCTTCTTGGTTGTAAAGAAAGCCTTAAGACTAAGAGCTGAGCAGATGTGGCTGTTTATAGATTCTGTATTTCCATACCGATAGCAGGGGGATGCTCTGTCCACATTGACGAAACCAAAGTATCCTTGTTTGCCTCCCAGTCTCGCACCTTTCCGATGCTTGTATTCACAGCAGGAGCTCAGCCTGTCCACTTGTATCCCATTGAGAAAAAAGGTGAGACTGAAGGGGAAGCCATGATGCCGCTTTGAGGTGAACTGAAAGGTCTCTGTAATTGAAGAAAGAAAATGGCTAACACTGTTGTCAGCCTGTTTCCATTGATAGATACCTGCCTTGTCTACATAAAGTGCCCAAACTGCAGACCACATGAGACCTGATTTTTGGTGCTCAGTTGCATTGCAGCTCATTATGCAAGCAAATCATCCTGCAACTAGACATTGTAGATCTTGCTAACACCTCTGCAACCAGCTACAACATTGTCATTAAGGCCATTCAAAACTCCATTGCAGCAGTAGGGAACAGCACCCAGAGCCTCCCACCTCAAAAATACTGGCGCTTGCCACTAGAGTTAGAGAGGGATATTAGCAGTAGCAGGCTTGTGACACGCAGTTGAGTACTAGTTCTCTCTACCAGTAGACAGTAGAGTACCTACAAAGCCCAACCACAATCAGTGTAAAAGCAGTAGCAACCACAATGAGTTATGTACAGCACTGTGAATGAAACCAGAGCTGTTGCTTCAACTTCCTTTCCTCAGTATGAAGACTGAAGCCACCCCTTCCCCAACAGTCATTAATCTTTGGGCTGCACAGACACAGTAATATAGCACCATGAGGAGACTGCACTGTGGCTGCAGCAAGGCTTTATGCAGGATAGTTATATAGTCTTGGGGGACAATGAGAAAATTTGTCTTGGACCTCTGGGCTGGGTTAAAGGTTGTGATCTGTAGAAGCCCTTCCTTCTGTAACTGCAGATCTGCTAGCCATGATCCTTCCTCCCCTACGCTCTGCACCCAGCTGTGTGATGCATAGGAGGTAAGGAACCATCCCAAGTTACCTGCATCACAATCCTACCCCCTCTCTCATGCAGCAGAGCAGCTGTGCTTCTTCTGCTTCCAGGGGTCTCCTTGCATGACATTCAGGTTTCACGAGTGGCACATTCCCAGGGCCTGATTCCCCTTTCACTCACCAACGTGAGTAACTACAGAGAAGCCAGAGGAGTCATACTACTATAACAGGGGATCAGATTCATGCCCCCAGTGTGTACTTTTCCTTCTGGAATAATAAAGAGCATGCAGTGATATATTACAGCAACCTAGAAACAGATAACTTGGTATTCAGGGACAGTTTACTCCTGCAAATATTTTATTAACCATAGAGGATTGAACCCACAGTATTTGTTAGCTCACTCCTCTGAATTCCTCCTTCCGTAATTTGCAAAAGTAATTGCAGCCTCATTTGCAATCATGAAACAGTAAATCTAGATTTAGTTTAGAGGCAGCTGGTATATAAGTCCCTGGATGCACATATCTTGACTGAGCTCAGCTGAAATCATTTTGATATCACATCAACAGTTTATCTATAAAATAAGATGTTGCCAGAATTAAAATGAACTCTTCAACTTTGAATCCTTACCTCTTTCCAGGAGCTTGCCTTTGTAAACACAAAGGTTTTCTCCTCCACAATGCTGCTGATAGACTTTGATTTCATCTCTGTAATCGGTATCATCATGAGATAAGTGCACATTTTTTCCTAAATAAATCATGGTAACAGATGCGTTGCTCCGTAATGAGGGCTTGTGGAATTTTCCTGAATCCTAGAACAGGGAAAACAAAAAATGCAGTCAGTTCCTATCTCTGAACAAGGGGTGAACAAAGGGACAGCATTTGTACATTTTTAAAGTACTTATTCACTTGTTCTCTCACCAAAGTTAATCTATCTGAATTTCAAATAGATCCAGTACTCCTATCAAATCTTTGGCCCCTATCTGCCATGATAGCAATGCAAAGCTGCTCCTGCCTTGGGGCACTGGACATGTCAGGTGTGTGCTGCTGGGAGCTGAGCATGCTGTGTTCCAGCAATCCCCAGATGGCATCATAAACCCAAGTGACCAATCTAGCTTCAATAAAAAGAATCCTCAGAGCTACTCTTACTCACAAGTGAAATGAAAATGGTAGTGAACCAGACCCAAAAACTAGTGCCTGCGCATCTTCATCAGACATATGTTCCATACATGGAAGAGTTGCATTTTCTTTGAATTAGTAAATATCCAAATCTGACTTTGTGTATTTTGGTATCTAAAACCTAAATTGGCTTCTCTCCCAATTGTAGGGCCCCAGGTCTTATTTATTCCTATATGTCAGCTGACTTTTAGAATTGAAGTACTCCATTCTGCTTGAAAAGCACTTTGAGTTGCAGCAGGGCAAACTTAACATAGCAAATCATTTAGACAGTTAATTATATCTTTCTCAGGTTGTGAACCATCTACAAGCAGGTTTTGATTTTGATTAGTCTGTTCATTATAAAGAACTTTTTGGCCAATGGTTCAGAGAGGAAAAGTGACAGTTTACAATACAAATCTTCTGCTAACAGAAGATGGACTGGATGATCCAATCGGTCTTTTCCGTCCTCTGATTCCTTGAGCATGATATGAGCCTCACTGGACCTAATGCAAAACTGCCATGAAAATGGATCGTGTCCTTTTTGTCAGATGCTTGGACCAACTGCATCAGGATGTTGGTTGGTCTGAAGCAGTGAAAGCTAAAAACAAAGTTAATGTGAACAAAGTTGTAAAAGGGGTGATGATCCCAACACTCTGAACTCGATACTTTCTTAATTGGAAAGGCCTTGTAAATTGACCTTTAAGAAGAGTTTCATATTAATAATCAAAAGAGAAAAATCAGCTGAACTGTGGTTTTCTTAAGTATATATAGCTACAACTGCAAAAAAAAACAAAACAAGACAGAAAAAAAATAAATTAATTCCTTTCCTAGTTTTTCATTTGGATCACTTCCAAGGGATGATTTCAGGCACTGTTGAATCAATGCCTGTCTAGATATTAATATATTAAAAGAATATATCAAATTAATTCAGCTGTTGAAAAGCCCTGGCTGCTGTATTCAACTGAAAACAATGCAATATCTTGTTACACTTGAAAAAAGAAACATTTAGAGCAAGATTATGCTTTTATTACACTTGCCAAAGAAAAGATCCAGCTGGAATTACCACTGTTACTCTGGCACATAGGACTGAGGCTACACAGCACGTGTCCACCAACACTGGGCCTGTTCTGCTGTCCTTGCTCCTCTCCTGTCTAGGAGGCTGACCCCACTTTTAGTGCCTTCAGAACAATCCTTGAACTGCCGCTGGGACACATTCCAAGCTGCTCGAAAGGGGGGCACACGGAGTAGCTTTAAGAAAACTCTGTATCCTTCCCACAGAACTTAGCACAAATCAAAGCAGTACGAGGGTTCCTTTGTGATACCCGACAACACAGAACCCCAGCCCGTGTCCTTGGCTGCACCCCTACATTAGCAGCTAGGAGTGAAGGTGACAGGCTATCTCCTTTTCTAGCTCCCTGCTGTCACAACCCAAAGGGTGTGATTTTTGTTTGTGTGCTTCGGCACTGCTAAATTGTTCCCACTAAATTGCAGCTTCTTTGCACGGTGGAGTTTTCTGCTGCAAAAGAGAACCCCGGTGCAAAAGAATTCCCGCCACCAGCTTTCCTTGCAGGGTGCATTTCTTTGTTGCAGCACAGAGATGCTCGTTGCAAAGAGTTCCCGCCATTTGTATGCTAATTTGAGCCCCATTATTGGACAGTTCTAATTTATTCAGATGTGGCGGCTAGTGATTGGCTTGCTAGCCATATAAAAGGCTTGAGTGGTTTCCGCCCAAGTTGGAGGACTCAATGAACACCAGGAGGAGGAGACTTCACACTGTGAAGATCTCTAAGTGCTGCGGAGCCTATCGGACCCAGTGCATTTCAAGCAGGCAACAGGGGTCTGATCAGCCTCTAGCCTCTCCCCGTCACCGAGCGCAATCCTCGACGTATCCCTCTCCCTGCGCCCTGTGCGCAAAAGGATCCACGGAGCCTAGCAAACTTTGTGTGAGTCTATTCAGAGCTCTTTTGTCTCGAGTACTTTCTTCGGTTGGCACGACGGGCTCGCGGTTTAGAGCCTCCAACCAGACGGGCTAGAAGAGTGTTCACGGGAAGGAACTCTAGTCCGCCTCTTATCTTTTCTATCTGCAACTGTAACTCAAGCAAGTTTTCCTGCCTGCACCGCGACCATCTTTGGTGTAAGTAAATAATCTTTGAATCAACCACTATGCCTCTGTGACTAATTCTAGCCCGTGCGTGCCTTGCCGCCGCACTGTCTCCTCTGACCCCGCGTGCCCGGGCTGCTGGCCACAGCCCGCGTGCGCAAAGACGGGTCCGCATATCGCTCCCGGCTCGCACATGGCGACATGGATGGGATCGGGAGGCGGCCCGCACACCTGCTACCTACAAACATGCAGCATGTGGAACTCATTCCCAGAGGAGTTCACTGAGTCCAAGAGCTTAAGATGCAAAGAGAGATTGAACATTCATTCATATGGATTATATGGAGTCATAAGTTACTGCCAGCAAACATTCTACGTGGGAAGCAAATTTCACACTCCTGTCTCATTACACATCCCTCATAGTCACAGACAATATTAGGGCATCAAGGACACACATCAGATGCAGTGGGTGCGTAGGTGACTGAGAAGGCTAATGTGTGACAAATTCTCTTCCACAAAGCTCACATGTTCATGTGCCCTGTAAGCCAGGTTGCTGCTGTCATAATTCCTGTCTCCTTGTATGCTTTTCTAGCCTACAGGGATGTTGTCACTGTTCAAAATGCACCATACCTACTTTTGCCTTGGTGCTTCATTGATGTATGTCAGCACTCAAAGGGCGCATCCAGATGAGCGAGCATGTGCCTCTTGCAGTGCTTCAAACCCCTTTGAGACACTGCAAGAGGCATGTGGGGGAACAAAAAAATGTTTCCCACACTGCAAATTTGCAACGTGGGGGCAAAATTAGATCCTGTCAAAAAATACCCTGTGGGGAAAAGCGAGACAATCTGAGGCAATCGGAGGCTTGGTCCTCCACAGAGATGCTCTGGTAGCCAGCCAGAGCATCTCTATGGCTGGCCCTTGCCCCAGTGCTGAAGCACGCTGCCTGCCTGTGTAGGGCAGGAAGTGGGGCAAGCTGCAGGGACCTGGATCCGGCTTTGTGGCAGGTAAGTGAGGGGGTTGGAGGGCTGGAGGAGGTGGGGAGGGGACCATGGAGAGGGGTCCGCCCGATCTCAGCTCCCATTCATTCCCCCCACCCCTGATCACTCTCCCACCCAGCCCCAGCCCCACCACACTCACCAGCAGTAGCAGCAGTGGTCGGGGCTGTTCGGGGCTTCATGGCACATAGGGGGCAGCAGGGCTCAGCCCCAGCTGCCTGGCACCCGTGCTGCTGTATCGCATGGGCGTGGCCTGGCTCAGCAGGATACCACGTGCTGTCCCAAAGCTCCTGGCCACTTGGCCTGAGCGGTGCCAAGCCCCAGGTGACAGCTGCAGCACCCCTGAGCTGCGAGACAGCGCGCGGCCCCCAGCTGAGCCAAGCCACACCTGCACGACATGAAAACTGCAGCATGGGGGCCAGGTGGCTAAGGCCAAGCCCCACTGCCCCTGGCAGCCCCACACCTTGCGGAGGGGCTGCGCCATGAGGCCCTGAGCCACCCTGACCGCTGCTGCTGCTGGTAAGCTGCAGATGGTGCAAGAGGCTGAAGCCAGGCAGGGGAGCGATGTAGGGGTGGGGGCAGCAGCCGAGAGCAGGAGGCTAGAGCCAACCAGGGGAATCCCTGAATCATCTCTGGGCTCTTGATCGCTCCCCTACTTGTTTCCACCTCCTGGTCATTCTCCTGCTCATCTCCAGCCTCCAGAGAACTGGAGACAGAGGAGGAGAATGAGAAGGGGAATAGTGACAAGCTGGAGATGCTCCTCTGCTTGTCTCCAGCCTCCCAAGGCTGGAGACGAGCAGGAGAACAAGCAAGAGGCTGGAGACAGCAGGGGAATGTGCTGGGACCCTGCAGGCAGGGTAGTCCATGTGCGGGGGGGGGGGCGCTCTGCTTTGTTGGGGGCAGGGGACCCACCCCTCCTAAGCAGCCCCTACACCCACACCTACCCACACACTGACTGGTATCCCCCCACATCCCTCCATACTCACCCATCTCTTCATGGATTGCCTCTGGCCCACAGGCCTTAGGTTAACAGCCCCTGTTCTGGGGTATTTTCTTATCATTCTCCCATCCCATGTGGCCAGTGCCACTGAGCACTTACAATTAATGTTCAATATTTATGCAATCAGCATACTAAACAACCTCAGTCTGTCATACCAGTTAAGGTGAAATCAAATTCACTGGAATCTCTGCTACAGTGTCTCTAGCTGCTGGATGGGACTTCTTCATACTTTCCAAATCCCACATCTATGTAGCAGTCAGTAGTAGCACTGCCCTGTAGACTGTACTTCTCCAGTGAGTCTGCCAAAGGCCACACTACCTTTACAGACATGAGAGCTCACCCTCATTAATTCAGGCACAGCTAGTCAGGACACTTCCAAGAGAGATGAATTCATGAATGAAAGACAGTTCATTTCCACCTAAGGTTATTCAAAAGTTTTGCATAGCTTCTTTTCAGGGCTGGCTGGTGCTGGACATCGTATTTATCTGTTTTATAGTTGGCCCAAAATCCAGATCTCCTGATCTGGCCAAAGCTTTGGGGATGTTAGTGAAAGCCAAATAGAAATGTTGGTTTTGTTCCTGGGAACTAATATGTACCTACCATTCTCTAGCTAGCTGACTGTGAAACTCTCTCCAGGATTTTCCTATCCATCATGTGCAAGAGCAAAGCGTTGAAGAGGATCCAAAATAGTCTTACTACCTGTGGCCAAGAGAGAGATCACCTGATAATTACCACAGTCTTATTTCTCAACTATGCCCATGTAGATTTAAATAATGGCTGGGTCTTTGAGGGAATGCTCCTTTCATCCCATATTCAGGAAAAGAACTGTTGTAAGTGCCCAGCTAGGATCTTGCATCCAATTTTATAAACTTCTCTGAGTATTGCATCTGATCCAGATGTTGCACCATTTCTCAGCAATGCAACAACAGTTTCTACTTCTTCCCAAGTCAGCACTGTGTTAAAGGCATCAGCATGCCCAGGTTGTGTGAAGCTACGTTGTACACCCTTGGCAATATTCTGTTCAATGCTGAGTAGCTCCTAAAAATGTTGTACCTACTATACCATCGTGTTTTGTGAGCAGTGCTTTCACCTCCCTGCTCTTTATCAGCATTAACACAGCACAAGTTGGTCCACAGGTGGTTGAGATCTGCATAGAACTGCCCCTGTTACTCTTCTAAGTTGACAACTGATGAGTAAACCTGCTTCAGAAAGTTTGTCATGAAGTGCAAGGCTACATTACTATAGTCCATTCTGACAATCATAGTTAAGAAGGGCCAAGTTCATTTTAGTGTACTATAACTTTTCTTCAAGCAAAAGTTGAATAGCTTCATCAGGTTTTTTAGCCATAACTACCTACTCCAGGTTCTTTACCGCACCTTCACTTTGTCCAGAAACAGGCATCTGGCTTAGATGGACCTTGAGTCCAATTAAATATGACAATTTCTATGCCCCTGTTTTCAAACACCAATATTTTTAACTAGATTTAAAAACTCTAAATATTTTAGTGTATGTGGAACCAGATACCTAATATAACCACTATACCTTTTTTTTCTTTCTACTAATACAGGTCAACACAGGTCCAGTCACTTCAACTACAATATCCAGTCTCTTCATATACACAGTTGAAAGTGATGTTCTCTAAGACACGTAATGTAAATACCAACAAGACAAAAAGTACCTTTGTTAAAAGTTGCTCTAAGCCATTTGGTGCAGTGGTGGGACGAAATAGTCTCCCTCTGGCTGCCCCATGTCTCACAGACTTTCCATTCTTATCTCCTTTTTGGGGTGGGGGTGGCACTGGTATCACATAATTGTTAATGATGGGAAGTTGATATGGGGATATTCCATTCGAGTAATCCACTGAATTTGTCAATCCTATCATACCTTTATTTCCCTGCAATTATATTAACAGGTTAAAACCAAGTTCATGCAAATACTGAATTTACTCAGCACAACTCAGTACTGTATTGGACTGTACATGGTCTGACTGTGTTTTGTGTTTTCCATTCAGAAAACAAACAGATTTAAAAAAAAAAAACCCTCCATAATTTGTGTCCAAGGTTTTGTTCATGCAGTCATTTGTGTATGAAACAAAGAATCTGAATTTCATATACAAACCTGCAAATGCAAATGGAGACACAGCTCCGGTCTTTTGAAAAGTTGAACCCCACTATCTAATAAACTGAATATGATTAGTGTGTACAGTTAAAAAAAAATAGGAATTTTTATAGTGGTGATTTTCTTTCCTTGTAGGCAAAACCCAAAAGAGCTACATCTCATCCAGATTAAGAATATTCATCACAAATTACCTCAATGTGTTTCTAAGTAGAGCTCTACTTCTGCTACAAGCTGAATTTCAGCCAGGAGCACAGAAGATACTAAGGCACCAAAAATGAAGACAGGCATACAGAGGAAATGCCCAAATCTTTGCATGTTCTGGAACTGGGATTTGCATTAAGTTACCATTAGCTATTACATGTGAGTGCTGGCTAGAAAGACAAGTGCATGGTAGTTCATAATTCTGCATGCATGACAGATTTCTGCAATGATTATAGCCCCTATTCAGAAGCCACCCCACCCATGGACTAAAACATCTGAACTTGACCCCTTTTCTAGATGATGGGAAGGTAAAAGCTGAATTTCACTTTTAAATAACAGCTGGGAATAACTTTAAATAACAGCACATGCCAACTCTCATTAACCTGCTCCCCTCCCTCTTTCTGGTTCTTTGATTTAAAAGGGGGAATTACAGGAAATAAAGAGGTTGCCTTTTCCTTTACAGGTGTGGAGAGTAAAGGTGAAGCCTTGCTGAGATGCACTTAAATATTCCCAGCTGTTGCTGTTAATAGGTATGCACCCTCAAAACTTTCCCCAAGTGAAGATTTTGTATGCAAAGAGTATACTACAAAAGCAGTGTCCATTGCATTTTCTCATTGCTGTGATCAAGGATTGGGCATGAAGCCAATAGGACAATGCCTTTTGCAAAACTAAAAGAAGGTTAAAAAGGAGAGCCTGAATAAAAAGCTGATAAATGATAGTACAATAAGCACTTTGTCTGTGGCTCATAGTATTAAGCTATTTTAAAGTCACCCTTTCTACAGAGTTCCTAAAATTGAGTAATTTTCATAAAGAAATCAAAGCTAACCCCATTGGTAAAATGATGATTGTGTTCAAGCATTGACACCTTCTGCTTGGAACTCAGAGTCTTTGGTACAGATCCTGCTGTGGCATAGCTGTGAAGCGGTTGCAGCCGAACTGGGCGTTGCATGTTTTCTGGTGCAGTGTTTGGTCGAGGAGAGAAAGACTGAATGAGTGAAACAAGAATGAACATTTAGAAAAGGAGCTAATTTCCATAAGTAATCCTATAAGAGGCTCAATACTATTATAGATAAACCTCAAACCTGCAAACCTTAATCAAACTTTGCAATTGGACATGGAGATTTTGCAGAGTTAAAGCAAAAGCAAATGATACCTAAAGAACAAGATGAACCTTGGAGTGCAGAATCTCAAAACATAACCATGAGAGCAGAGCAGCTCCTTCTCGCCTCACAAAGTGACTGGTAATTTTGGGGGCCCACCCTGAGGAGACTAATTTTCCAAAAGACCTGAAGATCTGAAGTGCAGGCCCCTTCAATGATCAGAGGTCAGGGAAGCAGACCCTACGATGACAGGCTGAGAGCCCTGGGGCTCTTTAGCCTGGAAAACCGCAGACTCAGGGGTGATCTGATGGCCACCTATAAGTTTATCAGGGGTGACTACCAGTATCTGGGGGAACGTCTGTTCACCAGAGCGCCCCATGGGATGACGACTAGGTCGAATGGTCATAAACTACTACAAGACCATTTCAGGCTGGACATAAGGAAGAACTTCTTTACTGTCCGATCCCCCAAGGTCTGGAACAGCCTGCCACCGGAGGTGGTTCAAGCGCCTTCATTGAACACCTTCAAGAGCAAACTGGATGCTTATCTTGCTGGGATCCTATGACCCCAGCTGACTTCCTGCCCTTTGGGCGGGGGGCTGGACTCGATGATCTTCCGAGGTCCCTTCCAGCCCTGATGTCTATGAAATCTATTAAATCAAGGGTCTCAGATGGAGCGCTCAAACCATTTCTGAGACTCTTTCCTATTACCTAGCTTTGCCGATGTAAGATCATAATGTAGTTCATATGTGGTTATAATGAGCTCATAGGGGCCACCTCAGATGACCCTATATCAGACTTTAGTCCTGGGGCAAGGAGTCTGCATAGGACACAGGTTTTAATCAATAGTCAGCACAGTTCTCTGACGCTTTCTCTTTTATCTTTTCTTTTTATGCCCTCTAGAACACACACTTCCAAAATTCTGAGAGCTTAGAAAACTGCTAAATATTGATCAAAACCTAACTTCTTTCTTCCCTGCAAGCTTACTCTCTAATTTGGTATTGACAGTAAAGGCCATTTAGAGGTCCATGGTCTGGATATGAGGGAGGGGAAGGCACAGGAGGGAGAAGGTCATTGAGGACTTGTAGAATGACTGGATTGGAAGGGACCTCAGGTATCATCTACTCCACCCTGAGAGTCAACCAGTCCAAAACACAGATTCTGTGGGCGCAAATTATTACTACAGAAATGGAAAGCCAAATTTCAGCACTAATAATGATTCTGAATATTAGCCATCCCCTTAACAAAAGTGTAAACCACCTGCCTGGGCCAGAAGCACTCCAAAGGACATCTCCTGTGGCATGTCATTTAGCACATCACCCCACTCTCTTCTCTCCCCCAGAAAAATAACTTAATTGTTTTAGTTATTTTATATGTGCAAACTTGCCTAGATCTACTGCATTTACCCTCTTGTTGATAATACAGAGTGTACTAATACTGGTCTAATCTTGGTTGCAGGTGAGAAAGAAAGTTTAAAATAGATTTATTATGAGGCAACGCTACCTTGTCCTAAGCACAGCATCACAAGGAGATTCCTTTCAAAAGGCCTGACCCTGCTCCCACAAGAGTGTGGAGCCCCTGGCACCTCCCACAAGAGCAAATACGAATTTCTTCTACAACTACACAATAGTTGGGCCACAAGTATGGAATAATTAGGGAAGTCAGTGTGTATTTTGCGGAGGTGTGTGTTTATGAGCATACATTTGGTAGGATCAGGGGTACTTGGCAGGACTTACCAATTGTGAATGACCAGATTGTTCTCCATCAACTAAAGGAGGGTGTCGATAATGATTTCTTGGAGCGGTGGGTGGGTGTGGAGAGAGCAGAGGATTAGCTCTCCTAAGATCTTCCCCTGATCTTCTTGAATGTTCCACCTAGAAGAAGGGAAAGTTATGCATCTGAGCCTCCAGAACTCCTTAGAGATGGCTTTACCACCACGAGGCTGGTCGCCCCACGGTATAAGTGACACAAGGCAGCAGTGCTGAGTGCTCAGGGCCACTCTGGTCAAACAACCTTACCTTGATTCTCTGCACCCTCTCCTTCCTCACAACATTTTCCAGTTTTCTTTTTATTTCTAGTTGGTGATGATGCTATCAGGGCAATAGAAAAATAAATCCCATTAATGACCACACCAACTGTCAATGAAAACAACAGGACTGAGTCTCTGGCTTATCCTTGTGGCTAGGGACAGATATTCAAAAAGCCTGAGCCTGAAGGCTAGGGACAGACATTACACATAAAGTGATCAGAAACTGGTTTAAACCTGTAACAGAACAGATGCTCAGTGCACATAAACCAGTTTGATATGGGCTGAAACTGGTTTGAGATAAACCTGGTTGAATCCAGTATCAGACTTAACTGATTTGGGCCAAACCATTTTATGCAATGTCTGTCCCAGACCCTTTGCTGGTTAGTATAACCTGGCTAGGCTAAATCAGTTTGTAACCCAACAGAAATCCCCTCAGGACTGAAAAAAAATGCAGGCAGATGCCTGCAGTGGCTCAGACTAGAAGCCAGGGGGTGCTACGACAGCCCTCCCTCCCTTTACAGCGCTGAGCTAAGGGGGGCATGGCCAGGCCCCCAGGATGTTCTGATTAGGGAGGGGTCCTGTCCCCCCTCCCGCCTCCTGACCAGCCCACCAGGGAATTGATAATGCAGTGTTTATCACCCCTAACTCAGTGTTTATCACCCCATTAAGAAAATAACAGAGGGACATGACTAGGTACCTGTTGATTCTGCCTTTGTACCGTCTGCCACAGCATGGACTTTAGCCAGCATGTGGTCTGCTAGCTGATGCTGTGTGTCTGTGTAAAACAGAGGGGACAGGGATCCTTGCTTAACAGGGAGTGGTGAGGGGGATGGACGGGGCAGAGACCTGGTGCAGGTGCAGATAAGCTACTCTGTAGGTCTGGGAATTTCTCTGATCTACATAGCTGTACCCAAGCTCCCCTGATAGGGGCTTTCTCCACCTCTGCCAGGAGATCACTCAGGAAAGAAACAAGCTTAGTTCTCACAACCTATGCTGAATAACTATTCCCTTTTTCCAGCTATACATTTTAGAAGAGGATTATTGAGCCCCCTGTCTGAAACATATGTCATAAAAGATGCAAATGCATGATATAGTTGTGTAATTTATGTATTACTTATTTCAAAAGACAAGTTTTTCTACTCTACTGTTGTGATGTTTGTGTGAGCCAAGATGACTCTCAGTCTCAGGGACCAGACTGACGCAAATATTTTAATGCTTGTGACTACAAGCTACATGGAGCAGAGCTGAATCAACCAATCAGATTACATGCATATCCTAGGTGTTATGCCAGTTAAAAAGTCACTGATAGAATATTTAGTCAGGAATCTAAGCTAGCCAGCACAACAAACTACAGCAAAGAGGACAGCTGTTTAAATGCCAGCATCTCTGCCACCACTCAGAATTTGGAGTTGAAGCTTGGGAGTACTTTAAAACCCAGAATCTTTAAAGAGGGTGCTGAGCTTATGCTCGAATTCAGTGCAATTGTAGAGATAATGTAGTTTAAGCAGATGTCACTAATTTTATTCTTTTTCTTTTTAGAGCTTGGAAATTGAGCTACAGATGGCGAGGGCTAAGGATTTTGGAATGGCCATATTGCAGACCAATACAGTTAAGAGAAACATGGAAGACCAATTTAGAGAAGTTCAGATTTACAGTTCAGCCTAAAGCTTGTATGCAACAACACACTAAGGTGCCTTTACTATTTGGCACATGACTGCATTTTATCTGATCCTATAAAGAGCCTCCTTACAACCCTATCCGGGAGTGATGGGCAACTCTCTCCCTTCTTCTTGCCATTGCCTGCAGCTTTATTTGTCAAGTGCTAAACAGCTGTTATGACCAAAATATTGGGCACAGAGAGGGATGAGTGCTGGGGTTAGGCGGTGTTCCAAAACTATTCTTTTTGCTGAAATCACAAGAACGGTGGCTCCTTGCCTTTCTCCCCACAAAGGGATACACTTCTCAGGGGAAATACCAGGTCATAACATTAAAAACAACCCAACACTATAGAACAGCATCTAGGCATGACTAGGTCACTATTCAAAAAGTCTTATGAAGTAGATAATGCACACATACCTCCATGTCAAGGACCCTGCGAAATATGGCCTGAGCTAGGCCCTCCCGAACATATTTTTGGTGATCCTTCCTCATCACATTGAGACGATATTCTTTCTCTGATATTATTCTTCCACTTCTTGAGATCTGCCATGAACAAATAAAAGGAAAGCATACAGAAAAAAGGAAGATGGAATCCAAACAAACCATGCACAGAATGAGAGGAAAAATCCTTTTCTATGTACACATAATAGTCACCTTAATGAAGTTCCCCCCTTAGGTATTAAAACTACTAGTGAGATATAAAATACAACTGAAATAAGCCGTTTGCTAATGTATTTTATATGTAATTTTGATGTTTTGATACTGCCTTTTAAAATGAATCAATAATCTAACTTTGTATAATAAAGACTTACAAATTCTCACAATGAGACCTTCAAATTAATGCCAGAAGTAGTGAAAACATTCTTGATTTATCATAAGCATCCAAAAAAATATTGTCTCCAAAATTTGAGAGACAGTGACAGAGGTACTGGTTGAAGTATTACTACGTGGTAATATAGTGCCATTCACATATAATGACTTACTACAATGCTGCCCCAAATGCTGCTTAGTCCTACACCAAGATTAGCTACTATTTACACATAAAATGTAACTAGGGGTCTCCAATACCACAAAGCCACGTGGACTATTGTATTATAATAGGCAATTATGTTTCTTAACACCCCAGTTTCAATGACTACTTCCTTGTGAACCATTCAAGGCTCAGTCAGAAGCAGTTTTATACTGCTGCAAGTATCATTTAAAATTCTCAGTGATCAGACAATTCCCCATGTGGCTCATTAGGAGATATGACTTTTTTTTTCTTTGGCTGAATGTTTCACACTATATTTACACTGGAGTGTCCTCCCTTTAAGTCTCTGCAATCTGCTAATTTAACTTAATACCATTAAATATAATATTAAATAGGGAAAAAGTGAATAATTCATAAGCCTACGCATACATACACCATAATTAATATATATACATATCTAGATATCTATCAATAGATAGATAGATAATATCTACTGTGTAGACATGAGAGTTCATAGCAAGATGGAACCAGTAAACTTTGCTTTATAACCCATATACCCATATTAATGGGTGACATTTTTATGGCCCAGTCATATAAGACTATGAGCACCCTCAGCTCCTCTGGTCTCCAATTATGAAGTATGTCAAGTACTTCCTGCAACATACTAACTGCCTTAAACTCCCACTGGTGTTCCTGAGGCCACTTTGCATGTTACAGACCAGGTCAGGATTGGCCCCTGTACTCTGTTCTATAGGATCATCCCATTTTTAGTAATATAGCTCTGTATCCCTCAACTATTACTATACTTAGAGGATTCTAGATCACATTGGACCCATAGCTTATTGGCAGGGTTAGTAATGAGGTGGTGAAAATGCAAAGTAATGACATTACATCACGCTGTCATGGTGTGATATCATGTGTTCAGCTAGTTGACAAATTTTTTAAACCAGTGACCTAAAGAGCTAATGTAGGAGTGTCAAACTCACCTGGTCTCAAATCAGGTCTAGACCACAGGAATCCTTACAGGATGGATCTGAACGTGGGTTTGGTAGTAGGACAAGCAAAGTCAGCAGTGGAGTGAGCAGCAGCATGGAGCTGCAGAGGTTAATACAGCCAACACACCTCCCACTAATGGCACCATCCCCAGGGGAGCTGTGTACCCCAGATGTCAGGAGCAGGCCCCACAGAGCCTGTTAATATAGCTCCATGAGCCAAATCTGGCCTGCAGGCCATGTTTAACACTTTTGTGACTGCAAAAACTGACAGCACTGAAATTCTTTGGGTAAAAAGGTTGAGACTTGAAACCTACCAGCCCTGATCGGTGGAGATGCCGTCTTATCCTTGTATTGCTGAAGTATCCAGTCAAGTGTTTGTCTGTGAGGCTGTTGTAAGTTGCAAGTGGTCTGAAACCAAGAAATATAGTCACTATGGAGACATTATAAGAAGCCAGGGCTTAATCATTAGGTCTCTCGTCAAAGTTACAAAGAACCTGCAGTGGACAAGTGTAGATACATACAATGCTCTCTTAAAGCATTGTCCCAGATGTTTTGTCTAAGAAATCCCTTTAAACGGTGCTAACTCTACAAGAAGTTTACATCTCCTTTAGAAATGCAATGAACCAGCTCTTCTCATGCTCAAAATTAGCTAAATATTAATCAATGTTTCCCATATGCTCAAATAATGTTTCCATGTGGGTTTTTCTACATAAGAAATTGTTTATCCATATCCTGCCCATAGCACCAATGAACATTAAGAATCTGAGGTCAACTTTCAGACTGCCCACTTGGAGCTTGAAAACAGTGAAGCGAGATGGGGAACAGTCAAGGACTTAGCTGAAGCTACCTTATCTCATATAATGTTTGGCCCTGGTGCAAGTGGGAGTTACAACGGATAGCTTTAACATTTGTGGAAGAAAAGGCATCCTCACATTGTTCAGGGCTAGGGACAGACATTACACATAAACCAGTTTAAGTGATCAGAAACTGGTTTAAACCTGTAACAGAACAGACGTTCAGTCCTTATAAACCAGTTTGAAAATGGCTTAAACCAGTTTGAGATAAATATGGTTGAATGTAGTATCAGACTTAATTGATTTGGCTCCGACTGGTTTATGCAATGTCTGTCCCAGACCCCTTGCTGGTTTAAAATAAACCAGAGTCCTCCAGCATCCTGGCATGCTATTGGGCTTGGCGGGGCTCTTTGCTCTAGAGTAGGGCTAACCCTTCCCCTCTGCATCTGCCTGGCTTCTCCCTGCTAAGCAGAGATTATTCCCCCCAACACCTCTGCTTTATGTGGACACCTTGGCATTAGCTAGCAGACCACATGCTGACTACAGTCCATGCTGTGGGAGAGACAAAGGCAAACAGGCTTTTTGAAGCTAATCAACAGGTAGCTTAATGTCCTTCCTTGGAAAGGCTGTTTGAGAAGAGCTGTTTGCTCCCCCTCCCTCCCCCTCACCACTCTCCACTAAGTACAAATTTCCCCCTCCCCTCTGCCTTGCTGAGAGATGTCTAGCAAGCAGACCACATGCTGAGTCTGTGCTGAATCAACAGATACCTGGCAATGTCTCTCTGTTTTCTTAATGGGGCAATAAACACTGAGATAAGGGTGATAAATACTGTTATCAGCTCCCCCCTGCCTCTGACTTACTTGCCTGTCAGTTTGCTGCAGACAGTAGAGGTATATGAAACAGACCCTATTCAATTTGGATTCGGATTCAGCCTGAATTGGGGACAGTGATTAGATTTGTTGATTCGGATTACAGTCCCCGATTCAATTCAGTGGAATCAAAGATTTGATGCTGATTCAGAGGTAGACCCAGCTTTAAATGTTTTTTCTACATACCTCGAGGTAGCAGGTGTGGCTCGTGAATGCTGTGATGCTGGGGCCCATGAAGCATCCCACAGGAGTGCGGGGGGGTGGGGGGGAAGCGCCACATGCTCAGCGGCAAACCTGCAAGTGGACCAGAAATAGTTCTGGTCCATTTCCGGGTCCACCGAGGAGCATGCTGGGCCCCACCCCCATGTCCCCCCAGCTCGGCAATCAGCCTTGGGGGGACCCCAGGTGTCCCCCAGACCCAGGAGGCACCAGTTGCCAAGCTAGGCAGGCGTGGGGGGACACCCCAGCACGCTCTCCAGCAGACCTAGAAGTGACCGGAAGTACTTCTGGTCTATTTCCGGGTCTTCTGCCGAGCACGCTGGGAGCCCCCCATGCTTCTGTGGGAAGCTCCATCCACCCCACCATCACAGCACTCACAAGCTGTCTGGTACCTAGAGGTATGTAGAAAAAACATTTAAAGTTATCTCTATGTCCGAATTGTCAAATCTTTCCAAATTGATTCGGAGGGTTCCGATACAATTCGGAGAGATTAAAGGGTCCTCTGATTCGATTCAGATTCAGAGATTTGGCCACTGAATTGGGTCGAATCTCTGCCGAATTGAATCAGGGACCAAAGCTTCACACAGCCCTAGCAGACAGTATATAGAAGCAGGGAGGGGAAGTGAAAAGCTCTGTATCCTCGACATGCATGCACCGCACACCCCACCTTGCCTCAGAGTACTAGCCCATGACTGCAGGCTGGTAACACCCACACCCCTTGAGTAGCGAGTGTGGAAAAGCCTAGGACTGCAGACAGGGTGGGGGTTCACACCCCTCCCTACTCAGAACCCTGCTGCCACCTGGCCATGCCCCCCTGAGTTTAGCTCTGTGGAGGGGGAAGGAGGGCTGCTCTAGCACCCCCCAGCTTCCAGCCTGAGCTACTGCACGTATGTGCCTGGTTTTCCTTAGTCCAGAGGGATTGTCTGTATGATTGGAAACCAGTTCAGCCTAGCCAGGTTAGACTAACCTGCAAAGGTTGAATCAATTCAGGCTCAGGCTTTTTGAATGTCTGTACCTAGCCCAGGAGTTCTGCTTCACACCCCTCCCAGCACCCATAACTCTCCCAATATGTCCCCTCCCTCTGTAGTGGGGATGGAAGGAAACAATAAGGCAGATACGCTGCCTCCACTAGAGTCTTCCTACAAATAGGGAATTCTCTGTGGACTTTCTCCAGAAGCTTCATGTTATTCTTGTGCTGATAATATTCTAGCATTAACAGACCAGAGAAGCTGCCTTTTTCAGTCCACAGAGTATGAACAGAAGCTTCTATCTAGTACTAGTATATACAAAAAAACATGATTCAGTTTCCGTAATAAACCCTGGGCCATTTTTTATTTTTAGTGATTTGAAAATTAGCATTCAAGTTGTCAGTATGGGATGCAATTCGCCAAGAATGCTAAATGGTTTGTCTCAGCTTTAGCATTCTTTCTGAGCATTTCCTTACATTTTTACAGAACATCTGTATTTGTAATGCTCCCACCATTGCAATGTGCATGTAACAAGGTTATTCATAGAATCATACAAAATTAGGGTTGGAAGGGACTTTAGGAGGTTATTTAGTCCACCCCCATGCTAAAAGCAGGACTATCCCCAACTGTTTCATCCTAGCCAAGGATTGGTCTAGCTGGGTCTTAAAAGCCAATAAGGAGCAAGATTCCACAACTTCTCTGGGTAGCCTGTTCCAGTGTTTTACTACCCTCCTAATGAAAATTGTTTTCCTAATATCTAATCTTAACTTCCCTTGCTGCAACTTGAGACCATTGCTCCTTGTTCTGTCATCTGCCACCACTAAGAACAGTCTAGCTCCATCCTCTTTGAAACTACCCTTCAGGTAGCTGAAGGCTGTTATGAAATACCAGCTCAGTCTTCTCTTCTCCAGACTAAATAAGCACAGTTCCCTCAGCCTCTCCTCCTAAGTCATGTTCCTCAGCCCGCTCACCATTTTCATTGCCCTCCTCTGGACTCTCCAATTTGTCCACAACCTCCCTATCAAGAGAGGCCCAAAACTGGACCCACTACTCCAGAATTGTCTCATCAGTAGCAAGTAAAGGGGAATAAGCACTTCCCTCCCTCTGCTGGCAGCACTCCTACTAATGTAGCCCAGTATGCCATTAGCCTTCTTCGCAACAAGGGCACACTATTAGCTCATATTCAACTTCTTGTCCTCTGTAAGCCCTGAGTCCTTTTCTGAATAGCTGCTGCTTAGCCAGTCAGTTCTCAGCCTGTACCAATGCATGGGATTGTTCCATCCTAAGTGAAGGACTTTGCACTTGCCTTCACTGAACACCATGAGATTTCTTTTGGCCCAATTCTCCAATGTGTCTAGGTCTCTCTGAATCCTAACCCTATGCTCCAGCATATCTACTACTCCCCCAAGTTTGGAGTCATCCACAAACTTGCTGAGGGTACACTCCATCCCATCTTCCAGGTCATTGATAAAGACATTGAACAAAACCAGACCCAGCACTGACCCCTGGAGCACTCTACTTGATACCAGCTGCCAACTAGACATCAAGGCAATGCTTACTACTTTTTGAGCCCAATGATAAAGCCAGTTATTACAACAGCATTTACTTTCCACCCTGTGAATGTCACAGAAGGTGTGAACATGATTCAATGCAGAATAAAATGAAGAAAAGTTGTATGACATGCAAGCATGTGTGCACGTTTAAATAATATATTCTAGACTTAGTGAGGCTCACTTTAAAATATTAAGGCTACATCTCATAACTTATAGTCCGTTCATCCAACACATACTTCCTTAGCTTGCTTGCAAGAACGTCATAGGAGATCATATCAGAAAACTTGCTGAAATCAAGGTATATCACATCCACTACTCTCCTCACATCCACAAAGCCAGTAATCATATCATAGAAAACAATCAGATTGGGCAGGCATGAATTGCCCCTGGTGAATCCATGCTGACTGTTCCTCATCACCTTCTCCTCCAAGTACTTAGAAATGGATTTCTTGAGGACCTGCTCCATGATTTTTACAGGGACTGAGGTAAATAGCTGTAATTCTCCAATTCCTCCTTCTTCCTGTTGGCTTAGAAATAGTATTTAAAGATCTGTTTTTGGGGAATTGCCTTATAGGTATACGTATATGCATTATAAGGGGTCAAGATGGGCAGCAGGGGTTAACTGAATTTCTAAAGAGCTTGGGAAACACACACACAGCTTCTCATGGCCCTGGAGGTAGATGGGTTGTCTAGTACAACAAGGCCAATGGACAGACCCAGCCTGAGAATGAAAGGGGGCTTGCCATAACACGAGATTACAACCTTCAAGGCAGATGCGTTGTCTAACACAACAAGGACACAATCTAGGAAATAGCCTGGGAAGCAAAGGAAGCATGTCCCATAACACAAGATAAGTGACACCAGCAACCAGGCCTCAGAGAGCAGGGGGGCCTAAATCCCAGTTTTGGGGGAACAGACCAAATTAGGAGAAGGCCCAGAAGGCTACGTGGACATGTGACCACAAAGAGACAGCCAACCAGAAATAGCCACAGATGAAGAGTCATC